TCCCGGGCCGGGCTCGGTAGCCAGCAACTCGCGCTGTGGGGGTGTCCCCGCTGCTGGCGGTGTCGGGGAGCGCCAGGCTCTCCCTGGGCGATTGCTGCCCGCCTGAGGAAAGCAATACGCGGTTCTAAGCGGCGTCCTCGGGGAGGTTGATAAACCCCTTAAAGGCAAACGGAAGGATTTGCTCTGTCTGGGAGAGCAAGGCTTAGGCCGGGAGGTTGCCAGGCTGGTGAGGTGCCTGGTAAAATGCATTTCTAAGGTGGACTGAAAGATCTTCTAAGTAGACAACCGCGATTGCTGCCCGCCTGAGGAAAGCAATACGCGGTTCTAAGCGGCGTCCTCGGGGAGGTTGATAAACCCCTTAAAGGCAAACGGAAGGATTTGCTCTGTCTGGGAGAGCAAGGCTTAGGCCGGGAGGTTGCCAGGCTGGTGAGGTGCCTGGTAAAATGCATTTCTAAGGTGGACTGAAAGATCTTCTAAGTAGACAACCGTGTGAGGCACAAGAAGGAGGAATATATTTCTTATTTGCAGCCGAAAGGAAAGAAGGCCAAGGGCAAGAAGGTGGCACCGGCCCCTGCTGTAGTCAAGAAGCAGGAGGCCAAGAAGGTCGTCAATCCCCTCTTTGAGAAGAGGCCCAAGAACTTTGGCATTGGTGAGTAAGTGGATGTTTGGGCTACTCGCTCAACGTTTTCTTTGCTGTTTAATGGACAGATATCTAAATCGAAAACAGAAGTGTATTGTAGTAAAGCTATAGAGTGAAGAGAGCAATAAAGGCAGTTGCCTCGCTGCTTGCAATTGAGAGCTGTCCTTAGTTAGGTATATGAAGGTGGCTACGGACAACTTGCTGAATTTCCTATATTATGTAGATTCGTTATATGATTTTATTGTGATGAATCTTGCCGTTTTGCACATGGTGTGGTGAATGAACTTCTGTAGTGCCATTTTTGTGGTACAGTGTGCAGATGATGTGAAAGAATATTTGCTATCTGAGTGGTAGTGCTGACATATCACCACCAAGATCACTGATGCACTCGTGCCTGTTCCGTGTTGTTGCTGTGTGGGTTTGGAACAGCTTTGAGTTAAAGTCTGTATTTTTAGGACAGGATATCCAGCCGAAGCGTGATCTCACACGTTTTGTGAAATGGCCGCGCTACATCCGACTGCAGCGCCAGAGGTCCATTCTTTACAAACGCTTGAAGGTGCCTCCTGCCATTAACCAGTTCACTCAGGCCTTGGACCGCCAGACAGGTAAGGATGTGCTCCACAAAGTTTTCTTGATTTGGGTTGTCAATGAGATGTGCCTCAGAGAAAAGAAGCCAAAATAAGACTTCACAAAGGCAAGCTGGAGAGATCTTTGGAAGCACTTTAGGGAGGCTTTAATAGTGATGGGGGTGATGCCAACAGCAAGCTGCTGTCTGAATTGGTTGGCTTAAGTCTTGATGGCTGCTATGCCCTTTGAAAAGGGAATAGAAAATACCCAAACCCAGGGTTATCTTAACTGCATGTTTCTATTGGAGTCCATTTGTCCAGCTTGATGTAGAACCATGTAGGGTTCATCAAACAGGTAGTTTGAGAGATCTGTATGAGTGCAGGCTTTGGGGGGAAAGCCAGCACCCTGCAGGCTGAGACTGATACCAGGGAAGGGACCTGAGAGTCATCTGTGGAACGAGTAAATAGTGTTCCAGGTGACAGTGCCTATGCAAGAAACTTCCAGCCTATGTAGAGTAACTCCCTTGTAGATGTTGCCAAACAAGTTGCTTGCTTTAAAGGAGAAAGTGCACCACTGTTAACCATAATTGCTGTGGGGGTCATCAGGCATAGAATCGTAGAATGTTTTGGGTTGGAAGGGACCCCAAGAGGTCATCTAGTCCAACCCCCCTGCAGTGAGCAGGGACACTGCTAACTAGCTCAGGTTGCTTAGAGCCCCATCCAACCTGGTCTTGAATGTTGCCAGGGATGTGGCCTCCACTACCACTGGGCAACCTGTTCTAGTGTTTTACCACCCTCATTGTAAAGAATTTCTTCCTTATATGCAGTCTAAACCTACCCTGTTTTAGTTTAAAGCCATTACCCCTTGTCCTGTCCCGTTTCCTCCTTGCATTTCCTCATACAGACAGTGAAGGAGCTCTCACTGCCAAGGAGGTGCATGTAGAGGTTAATACAGGCTCTAGAGGCACTCTGCTAGCTCCGGTCTTCCACTGTGCAAGTGATGCTAACTTTTTGCTGTCTAAATACACTTGATGACAACCACCAAGATCGCTGATGCACTGCAGTCTTGTTTTTAAAAGTAATGCTTTTTTTAGGTTGCGCAACTAACTAACCAGTAGATGTTCTCTTCCAGCTACGCAGCTTCTGAAGCTGGCGCACAAATACAGGCCAGAAAATAAGCAAGAGAAGAAGCAGAGGCTACTGGCTCGTGCTGAGCAGAAAGCTGCAGGAAAGGGAGATGTGCCGACAAAGCGGCCACCAGTCCTCCGAGCAGGTGACGTTGAACATGGACTTGGCTGTTTGCATATGTGGGAGTGTGGTGCTTGGTCAGAGAGAATTGATGAGTTGGTGCTGTGCTCCAAGGGAGTGGGACTGGACAAGCTATTGCAATGATGTATGAATTTCTTCACCTGAGCTCAAAATGAAGAGCAAAATAGACGAGCTTTTTAACCCTGAGCTTTAGCAGATTGTCCATGGAGTACTTCTCTGTGCTACTGAATGGATGTGAAAAGTCTTCACAGCTTTCATAATGAAGCTGCACTATGGAGTCTGAGCTGGTTGTATGAGGCTTATATGAAAGCTCTGAAAATGGACTGAGTGGAATCAAAGCTTACCCGTAACTTGTTTTTCAGGTATTAACAGTGTCACAACTCTGGTGGAGAACAAGAAGGCTCAGCTTGTAGTTATTGCCCATGATGTAGATCCCATTGAGGTAAGCATACTCACTGGTACATGTTACAGGCTACCTGTGTAACTTAAGCTGAAGTCAGAATTGGGCTTGGGGTGAAAATGCATTTTAGGACGAATCTATTGTGTGAGAAGAGAATGCATAAAAAGACGTGTTTACCAGAACTGGAATACTTATGCATGTTTATAGTTGTCCTGGTATTACAATGAGGCTTGGCCCTTGCAATGATGTATGAATTTCTTCACCTGAATCAACAATGAAGAACAAAACGAGCTTTTTAACACTGAGCAATTGCCACAGCCCAGGCTGATCCAAAGAACAGAAAGATGTCTTCCCTCAGCTATACAGCACACTCCCTTTTCCTTTCAGCTGGTGGTCTTCTTGCCAGCTCTGTGCCGCAAGATGGGAGTGCCGTACTGCATCATCAAGAGCAAAGCCAGACTGGGACGACTGGTCCACAGGAAGACTTGCACCTCTGTTGCTTTCACCCAAGTTAACCCGTAAGTGTTGTGTGTGCTGACTGGATTTGCTGTAGTGGAGAAAGCAAACTGCCCGTAAGCACAGAGTGCAGGGCAGATGGGTATCAAACTTGGGTGTCTCTAGTTTAAAGTAGTAAATACAAAAACACTGCCTCTATAATATCTAATACAGATGTCCTTTTGTATTAAGAGCTCTATTGGATCCTGAAGATACAGATTACTTTGATTACCATCCATTGATGGTTACTAAAGAATACGTAGGTGGAACTATAACCTTAATGGGAGCAGCGCAGGTTCCTAATGCATTGGTGATTGGAGGGATTAACCCTTTGCAAAGGATGTTTATCCTGAAAAATTATGTTGCCATTATGAGCTCTTAAATCCTGAGGCAAAAGATTTATGGAAAAAGTTAAGCTGAGGCTCTAAAGGAACTAAAGCTGT